TGGCGAGCAATACGGTCGATGTTATCGTTGCAAAGCAGGTTCTGATTTCCTTGTGACTGTGTATGCATATAATAGGTAACAGCAGGGCTTTAGCAGACCAATCAGAGATGAGTCTGAAAAGCTGTTTGCTGTGGGTACCTGAAACACAGACAGAAAAAACACAATGTCAGTAGGTTGTGTAACAAAAACGAACTTGGTCTTAACGATTCTAATGATCTCAAATATAGCAAACAAACACTAAACTGGCAACGGCGCCAAATTGATAATAATAAGTTTACGATCAATTAATCCTAAAGCACTATCCTGTCGTTGTAGTACTATAGGTGTCAATCCAATCTAGTGTGATGCAAACAGATGAGATATGATCAGAATTCACTAAGTCAAGCCAAGCAGAGAGTTGTTGTTTTCTAATGATCCTAATGCAAATAGAAAGAAACAAAATGAAACTAAAATGCGAAATAGCAATAGCAAGCAGACGAATAACGAAGCATGCAATAACAGGTAATCAAATGGATAAGAGATTCCTAAGGATGGGGTATTCGAATAGCGTGGCCTTCTTAATCTATTTAGACGGTTGACAAAACATCAAAGAAGCTATCCCTAGAAAACAAGTTCAAAAGTGAATCAATTCACTACCGTGATAGAAATCCTCAAGCAGAGCTAGACTCAGACCTAATCACCATTAGCGACATTTAACAAAACAGACAATAACGAATCAACTTGCTAAAGCCAATACCCGCTCTAAACAGCCAATACCTTGGGATAAAGACGAGTATCTCTGGAATTAGTGGATCAGACATTCCATCAAACACCTTTTGGGTGCGGGAATGTCTGGATTCATATTCTATTTGATCAGAAAGGAACAAGCAATAAGCGCAACTAATCCAGAAGGGATTCAAAAAATCTAAACTCAACCATCTAAAACGACTAAGGCAACCACGACTACTCTATCCCATCCTCAGAATTACAGTTCACTACTCAGACATAATCAAAGACAATAGCAATGAAACGATTGAAAACATGATAACAACAATGATGAAAGATGAAACGAAAAACTGAAATATCAAATACTTGAAAGTGAATACAAAGTCGCAGGAGAAACACTGCGGCTACGAAAACGAGTCTACGATAAAAAAATGGGATCCCCTAGGGAAAACCCTTAGAGGCTGTTTATATAAGCGAGACAAGTTAAATAAGGAAAGTTTGAGATAGTAGTCTTCACATCGGGACCCTGCGATCGAGCATCTGATGGGCTGAAATGGGCCTCTTTGTGATCAAGTATGTCATTGATCAAACTCGGCTTCAGGGACTCCGCCTTGCGATCAAGTGGTCTAGAGTGAAGACGAGATGGAATGGTCCATCGACCCTGTGATCGAGTGGTGCGATCGAGTGGATGTCATGATGTGGTGATCGAGTGGTTTCTTCAGCTTCTCTTCTCTTCCGTATTTTCAGCTTGTTTGGTTGAGTGCAGAATGAGTAGATGGGCTTCCTGGTGATCAAGTGGTGATCGAGTGCTATGGAGTGGCTGATTCCTCCGACTTCGCGATTGAGTGAAACTGAGCTGCTGACTTCTCCATGGTTGTGATCGAGTGTTTTGCCATGTTAGGGCTCTGAGGTTGCGATCGAGTACTTTGGCCGAAGGTGTGATTGAGAATTCTGACTTTCTGTTCTGTTTCTCCTCTGTTTGAACTCTAAAAGCATCCGAAGTACCTGAAAACAACCAAATATGCAATGCAAATACAATCCTAATGCAAAACCGTCCTAAGTATGTAGAACACACTAAAACGACTACTAATGAGATGAAATGTGGATGAAATAATGACATAGTGATGAAGAATGAATGCTTAAATCATGCAAATTATAGACATATCACTGGCTCTGAATGATGTAGCAGTATACTCGACCACACCCTGCAAGGAGCAATTGGTCTAAGTTTCACGATTTCTGAAGTTTCGACATGTCACCCTATCACGCGAGGTTACATGCTGATAAAGAGTCATAGTCGAGTATAATTGATTGTTTTGGCCCAAATTTTTTTTAAAATCATTGTTATACTCGATCAACAGAAGCCAATGGTGATTAGAGGAAGAGGTCGAGTATGCTGTTGATTTGACTCAAAACTTCAAAAATTCAACATTATACTCGACCAACAGAAACTACAAAGACTTGCAGTGACTTGGTTGAGCTTACAGAAGGTTGCAGGAAGTTCTGAGATTTTTCTAGACAATGGGACAGACAAGAAAACTGCATGTAGGCCCATTACCTCTCCTTTTTGTTCCCCCACGCGTTCTACAAATGTGATGAGACATCCACTTTTGTTTCTCCACCACCCATTTCTAATCCTCACCCTCAACCTTCTAAAACACCAAACAACTTCATCTCTCCTTATCTCTTTCACCGACATTCTCTCTCCCTCTCCTTTATCCTCTTACCTCTCTCGCTTTCACTCATCTCCCTCATCCTCTAATTTTCACACTCACTCTATCTCTAATCCTATCCATCGAATTCCCAGCTTCGTCTGCACCACCAAATCGTCATCTCTCTCTACTCCAATCTCCATACTAGACAACCGACCTCATCTCTCCTCGCCACCGCAAGCTTTAAACTCGACCTCACCGATTCGCTTTACCGGAGAAGAAGAAGGGTACTCGACTGCAAAGATAAGACAATCGACATCTACTCCACGATACTTGACCGCCGTCTAGCCACCTCGACCTACTCGACCGGTTACTCGACCACGGCGTGAAGGAAAAACTTGACCTGACCGCTTCATCAGAGAAGACGAAACTCATACCGGCGACTTACTCCACCACGTCACCATCGATACTCGACCGCGTCTTCACGATACTCGACCATGTCTCCTCCCTCCTTGACCGATTTCAATTGATGGCCTTCACATCGTCACCGTTTCCACAAACCGGAGAGGAACACTCGACCTCGCCATGAAGGAGCACTCGACCGCCGTGAGGAAGAAGAAGAGATACTCAACTCCGTCAAGTACTCAACCGTGGAAGCTCCATACTCGACCACCGTCTCAAGCCCACCGTGATTCGCTTCACCGGAGAAGAAAAAGAATACTCGACAGCAAACCGAACCAACACTCGACCGGATTACTCGACAGGCATACTTGACCAGTTTACTCGATTTCAACCAAAACTGGTTTATTCCTCAAAGCATTTCCGTTTCTGTATTCAAATTTGTCTCTTTGGAACTAACCTATTGACGTTTAGTTTTGAGTTCCAATTCTTCTCAGGTTCATCATGAGCAATTACAGTGGTAACTCCTTTATGGATGCAGACTACAATGTTGATGAAGCTGAGTCATGGTCCAATAGACCAGAGAGGAAGGAAAAGGCTTATGAGAGTGGATGTGTCTATAATTTGTATATTTTCTGCATTCATTCATCATCGTTTTGAGTCTAGTTTCATGATATTCATCACTGTTTCATATCATTCTTCATCATTCTTGCATACTTTGCATGATTAGGATAGGTTTGCATACATTCTGCATTTCTGAGTGTTTTCAGGTGATTTGGAGCTGTTGGCGATCAAATTGGAAGAAACGAACCGGAGTCGACCAGATTAAACTGAACCACAAGGTCGAGTGCTTCCAGGCACACTTACTCGACCCTGTGGTCAAGTGACACCAGCGCCAGTCTTCCTTGACCACTCGATCACACCACTCGACTCCGTGGTCGAGTATTCTCAGCCGTGTCACTTCTCTGCCACTCGATGACAGTACTCAACCACAACACTCGACCACGAGGTTGAGTATCCACATCCATCGCTCTGAGAACCACTCGACCACATCACTCTGCCATTCACTCGATCACGTCTTCAGAGCCTTTTCAAATCCACACTCAACCAGACAAGCTGAGCATAAGGAAGAGAAGAGGAGAAGAAGAAGTGTTTGGAAGTGGTCTTGAGTTTCACTCGATCACAAGGCCCAACTTGGCCCATTATCACTCTACGGGCCGATCGAGTGGATTCACGACGCATCTCTTGTTGTTTTTACTTCATTTTGTATAAATAGGTCTTCGAGGGTTTTTTCCCGAGGCATCTAGTTTTTGCTTCGAGTTTTCATTTCTGTTTTAACCTAGTTTACTGTTATCGCTTAGCCGCTTGCTTCTGCAAACTTGTAATTCGAGATTTTTCCAAGTTATTCAGATTTCGCATTTGATTGGTTCTATCACTTTGTTTCTCTACTCTCAATCTCTTTACTTATGCAATTCACTTGTTTACTTGCGATTATGTTTTTAAGCATGTTGTCTGAGTAGTGACATAGAATTCTTAAGGATGGGATAGAATGGTTGTAGGATCCGTAGTCATTTTAATGGATAAGTTTTAATTGATTGAATCCTTTCTGGACTAGTTGAGTTTATTGCTTGTTTCTGTCTAATCAACTAGAACTCGATCCAAAGCATTCCCGCACCCAGAAGGTGTTCGATGGAATGCTTGATCCACTAGTTCCAGAGATACTCGTCTCTATTCCAAGGGATTGGCCATTTAGAGCGTTTATTGACTGTAATAGGTTGAATCGTATTGCTTGTATAGTTAGATTCCGTTAATGGAAATTAGTCTGGGCTAGCTTTGCTCGAGGGTTTCTATCACCATAGTGAATTAATCTGTTGTTGAACCTGTTGTCTAAGGATAGCTTGATTGCGCTTTGTTAACCATCTGAATTGGTTACGGAGATCACTCCATTCGATTATCTCATCCTTAGGAATTTCTCATCTAATTGATTTCTCTGTTTTCAATGCGATTGATTAATCGTTCTCCATGGAAGATCCACTCGATCACCTGGACGAGTTTGATAGGCTCGGAAGCCTAACACAGATCAATGGAGTCAGTGAGGATGGCTTCAAGCTCAGAATGTTTCCATTTTCTCTTGGAGACAAAGCTCATCAGTGGGAAAAGTCGCTTCTTCAAGGCTCCATTACATCATGGAATGACAGCAAGAAAACCTTCCTGGCTAAATTCTTCTCAAACTCCAGGACTGCCAGACTCCGGAATGAGATTTCCGACTTCACCCAGAAGAATGCTGAGACCTTCTGTGAAGCATGGAAGCGTTTCAAGGGATATCAGACGCAATGTCCTCACCATGGTTTCTCCAAGGCATCACTCCTAAGTACTTTCTACAGAGGCGTTCTCCCTAAGATCAGGATGCTCCTTGATACAGCATCCAATGGGAATTTCCTGAACAAAGAAGTTGAAGAAGGATGGGAGCTGGTAGAGAACTTGGCCCAGTCTGATGGCAACTACAATGAAGATTATGACAGAGCCATCAGAGATAGTTCCGACTTAGAAGAGAAGCACCGAAGGGATATGAAAGCCATGAATGACAAGCTGGACAAGCTACTCCTTGTGCACCAGAAGCAAGTTCATTTTCTCTGTGAAGATGAGACGTTCCAAGTCCAGGATGGGGAGACTCTCCAGTCAAAAGAAGTTAGTTATGTGCAAAACCAGGGAGGCTACAACAAAGGCTTCAACAACTTCAAGCAGAACAATCCCAATCTATCATACAGAAGTACCAATGTTGCAAACCCGCAGGACCAAGTCTACCCTCCACAGCAGCAGAATCAACCTAAACCCTTTGATCCATACAACCAGGGTCAAAGGTTCGTTCCCAAGCAACAGTATCAGGGAAACTATCAACCGCAACAACCACCACCTGGGTTCGCACAAGATCAACAACAAGCTTCCACAACTCCAGACTCAGACTTGAAACATGCTCCAGCAGATTTTCCAGGGACAAGCAACATGAGCAATGGATTTGGCTAAAAAGATGGCTGAAATCCACAAGGTTGATTGCAGCTACAATGATAACAATATCAAGGTTGAAGCACTGACATCTAAGATCAGATACATGGAAGGCCAAACTGGGTCAACCTCTGCTCCTAAGGCTACAGGACTTCTAGGAAAATCAATTTAGAATCCAAAGGAGTATGCTCATGCAACTCCGCTCGGAAGCGGTAAAGAACTACCCATTGAGGACAATGTGGAACAAGATGGGGAGGATTTCTGTCAGAATGAAGATTCAGCTGAAAAGGCATCAGAGGAGCCTATACTCGACCAACCTACTCGATCACCAGTTCCTGGAACATCTCCTTTTGTTGAAAAACCAGCTGCTACCAAAACCAAAGAAAACGTCTTCATTCCCCCACCTTACAAACCTCCAATCCCATTTCCTTGTCGATTTAAGAAGGTCCTGATACAGAAGTACAAGGCTCTCCTGGAAAAACAATTGAAAAATCTTGAAGTCACGATGCCTCTTGTCGACTGTCTTGCGCTAATACCAGACTCTCACAAATACGCTAAGGATATGATTACAGAGAGGATCATAGAAGTCCAAGGAATGGTGGTGCTAAGTCACGAATGCAGTGCAATCATCCAAAAGAAGATCATACCCAAGAAACTGGGAGATCCTGGTTCGTTTACCTTGCCTTGCACTTTGGGTCCTTTAGCCTTCAGCTAGTGCCTCTATGATCTAAGTGCGTCTGTGAGTCTCATGCCTCTCTCTGTGGCAAAGAGACTCGGGTTCAGCAAGTACAAATCCTGCAACATTTCCTTGATTTTAGCTGACAGATCTATCAGAATACCTCATGGACTGCTAGAAGACTTACCAGTCATGATAGGCGTAGTCGAAGTACCTACAGACTTCGTGGTTTTCAAAATGGATGAAGAGCCCAAAGATCCTTTGATACTTGGAAGGCCGTTTTAGCTACAGCTGGAGCCATCATCGATGTCAAGAAGGGGAAGATCGATCTTAACCTCGGGAAAGATCTCAAGATGACTTTCGATATCACTAACACCATGAAGAAGCCTACAATAGAAGGAAAGGTTTTCTGGATTGAAGAGATGGATATGTTAGCTGACGAAATGCTAGAAGAGCTTGGAGAAAAGGACCATCTACAGAGTGCTCTAACAAGGGATAGCAAAGAAGGAGATCTACACTTGGAAACTTTGGGGTACCAGAAGCTGTTAGATAAGAATAAAGAAGCTGAGAATCCAGAAGAGTATGAATATTTGGTTGGAAAGGCAAAGGAGGGGAATATACTCGACCACATCACTCGACAGACAGCCCATCCAGTCTACTCGACCGAGCTACTCGATCACAACCTCTCCTCTGAAGTCGACTTAGTATCCGATGACTGGTCTGAACTCAAGGCACCCAAAGTCAATTTACAACCGCTACCAAAAGGGCTAAGGTACGTTTTTCTTGGACTAAATTCTACTTATCCTGTTATAGTGAATGATGAGCTGAATATTGATCAAGTAAACCTGCTGTTAACTGAGCTTAAAAAAGTATAGGAAAGCTATAGGATATTCGTTAGATGATATCAAGGGGATTTCACCCACCTTATGCACCCATATAATCCATCTTGAAAACGAATCCTATTCTAGCATTGAACCTCAAAGGAGATTAAACCCAAACTTGAAAGAGATGGTGAAAAAGGAGATACTTAAACTATTAGATGCTGGGGTTATCTACCCTATCTCTGATAGCACTTGGGTATCTCCAGTCAACTATGTTCCTAAAAAAGGAGGTATGACAGTTGTTAAAAACGCTAAAGATGAACTGTTACCCACTAGGACCATAACTGGACATAGAATGTTGCCTCTAGGAAAGACCATTTCCTTTTGCCTTTCATTGATCAAATGCTAGAAAGATTAGCAAACCATCCTTACTATTGCTTTCTAGATGGCTATAGCGGATTTTTTCAAATCCCCATTCACCCAAATGATCAAGAAAAAACTACTTTTACTTGTCCGTATGGAACCTTTGCTTACAGGCGTATGCTTTTCGGGCTCTATAATGCACCTGCTACCTTTCAGCAGTGTATGACTTCCATTTTCTCAGATTTGATAGAGGAGATGGTAGAGGTATTCATGGATGATTTTTTCGTGTATGGCTCTTCCTTCTCCTCGTGTTTGTTGAACTTGTGCAGGGTACTCAAAAGATGTGAGGAGACAAACCTGGTGCTGAACTAGGAGAAATGCCATTTCATGGTCAGAGAGGGCATCGTTTTGGGATACAAGATTTCTGAAAAAGGAATAGAGGTTGATAAAGCTAAGGTTGATGTGATGATGCAGTTACAGCCACCAAAGACCGTCATAGACATTGGGAGTTTTCTTGGGCATGCGGGGTTTTACAAAAGATTCATCAAGGACTTTTCCAAGTTGGCCAGACCGCTCACCAGACTGTTGTGCAAGGAAACCGAGTTCACATTTGATGAAGAATGTTTGACAGCATTTAAGTTGATCAAGGAAGCTTTGGTCACTGCCCCAATAGTCCAAGCTCTGAACTGGGACTACCCGTTTGAGATCATGTGTGACGCTTCATATTATGCAATAGGAGCAATTTTGGGCCAGCGGATTGACAAAAAGCTGCATGTGATCTACTACGCGAGCAGAACGATGGATGCTGCTCAAGTAAGGTATGCCACTACTGAGAAGGAACTGTTAGCTGCGGTATTCGCATTCGAGAAATTTAGGAGCAACCTGGTAGGTTCTAAGGTGACAGTCTACACTGATCATACCGCCCTAAGGCATATCTATGCGAAGAAGGATACCAAGCCTAGGCTGCTGAGATGGATCTTATTGCTCCAAGTTTGACATGGAGATAGTTGACAAGAAGGGAATTGAGAACGGTGTAGCTGACCATCTGTCTAGAATAAGAATTGAAGACGAGCTCCCTATTGACGACTCTATGCCAGAAGAACAGCTAATGGCAATTAAACAGCTGAACAAGAGCGCTCAAATTCTGAAATCACTCGATCAAGCATGTGCAATAGAAGATAAGTTTCCGTGGTATACTGATCACGTCAACTACTTGGTGAGTGGTGAAGAGCCTCCGAATCTGTCCAGCAATGAGAAGAAAAAATTCTTCAAAGACATTGACCATTGCGACTGGGATGAGCCTTATCTTTACACACTCTATAAAGATAAGATCTACAGGCGATGCGTCTCAGAAGATAAAACTGAAGGCATTCTGCTGCATTGTCATGGTTCTGCCTATGGTGGCCACTTCGTAATATTCAAGACAGTGTCAAAAATCCTGCAAGCAGGTTTTTGGTGGCCAACAATGTTTAAGGATACTCAGGAATTTATCTCGAAATGTGATTCATGTCAGAGAAAAGGGAACATCAGCAGAAGGAATGAGATGCCTAAGAATCCGATCTTGGAGGTTGAGATTTTTGATGTATGGGGAATTGATTTTATGGGACCGTTTCCATCTTCATACGGAAACAAGTACATACTGGTCGCAGTGGACTATGTATCAAAATGGGTCGAAGCCATAGCTAGTCCCACCAATGATGCAAGAGTTGTGCTGAAGCTGTTCAAGACCATTATCTTTCCGAGATTTGGGGTTCCCAGGGTTGTAATCAGTGACGGTGGGAAACAATTTATCAACAAGGTTTTTGAAAACCTCTTGAAGAAGCATGGAGTAAAACACAAGGTCGCCACTCCCTATCATCCTCAAACAAGCGGGCAGGTGGAAATCTCCAACAGGGAGATAAAATCAATTCTAGAAAAGATTGTTGGGATTACAAGGAAAGATTGGTCTGCAAAGCTCGATGACGCGCTATGGGCTTACAGAACAGCTTTCAAGACCCCTATCGACACAACTACTTTCAACCTTCTCTATGAAAAATTATGTCACCTACCTGTTGAGGAGTACAAAGCCATGTGGGCAGTTAAACTCCTGAACTTCGAGATTAAAACCGTTGAGGAAAAGCGGTTGATCCAACTGAATGATCTCAATAAGATTCGCTTAGAAGCTTATGAGAGCTCCTAAATCTACAATGAGAGAACTAAGTCTTTCTATGACAAGAAGATCATCTCAAGAGATTTTAAGGTGGGTGATCAAGTGCTGCTGTTCAATTCTCGCCTGAGACTTTTTCCAGGCAAGCTCAAGTCTAGATGGTATGGTCCCTTCCGTGTTACTGAAGTCCGACCTTATGGTGCTATCACTCTAGCTGGGAAGAATGGAGATTTCACAATCAATGGCCAGAAGCTCAAGAAGTACATGGCAGATCAATTCATCTCAGAAGGAACTTTTGTTCCTTTGGAGGAGCCTCTAAATGCCTAATAAAGTGTGAGGAGT